GATACGTGTGTGTATGTGTGTACTTCTGCGTGTTTCCATCAGTGTACACCTGTGTGTAAGTTTGTGTGTATAGAAGGGACATTCACCCACGTCCCCACACTTGGGAACACACGGTCACAGCAGCTCATAGCAGGGGGTTACTCTCGGCCCAGATGGCCTCCCTGGAAGGTCATAGACCAGAATTCCCGCTCACCCTGCTCTGCTCTGCCGTGGCTGAGTGACCTTAAGTGACAAGTTCATCTCTATATACCTCAGTTTCCCCAACCATTGCATAGACACAGTGAGGCACACTTCCTGGTCGGCTGGAGGCTGAGGCGGACTGTGGTTTGCGGTGTTGCCCAGAATGGGGCTGGCACGCAGGATGAGATGCGGCCCAGCCCCAGTGTGCTCAGCCTTCAGTGGGCAGACTGGGGACCCTCCGTTGGTCAGAAGGGCAGGAGGGAGAGAGGAGCAGGTTCCAGAGTGGGGTCCAGGTACCAGGCTAGGGGAGGAGCCTCAGGCCCCTTTGGCAATCGGTTACACCCAGTCTCTCCTTGCAGGGGCTCATTGTCAGTGGGACAGAGAGAGTGTCCCCTAAGGTGGACTGTTCATGGATGGGGGTGGCCCAGGACACTTTGGAGGGGCATCTGCCTCTTCTTGGGCACTCTGGGAGAGTTTCCAGGAGGAGGTGAGAGCTGAACTGAGAGGTGAGGGGCCATCTAAAAGCTGTCCAGAACAGGAGGGGGCAGCCCAGGCAGAAGGAAGGGTGTGTGGGAAAGCTGGGCAGTAAGCAAGAACTTTCACTGTTCAAGGATCAATCTGCGCTCTGCTCTTCACCCAGAGCTGGCTAAGAGCCCTTGATCCGTATGTAACAGTTATCTACCATATTTATTATTAGAATTGGTAGCCTTGAAGTCGAGTGTCACTGAGGTGCAACAGGAAGAAGGCCTGGGGGGAAAGGAGGCAGGAGAAGTCGGCCTGGCCCCACATGCACACAGCACCTTGGAGCTATGCGGGAAGGAACTGGGATCTTAGCATTCATTCATTCATTCATTCATTCATTCATTCATTCAGCACTTACGGATGCCAAGCTCTGCTCTTGGAGCAGGGCACACAGTGGGGAACAGAACCAAGCCCCTGCTCCCGTGCAGCTTACAGCCAGGGAGGAGACAGACAAAGGACACATACACTTTCATGCAGTTGAGGTCTGGAGAAAGGCTAGGGAACCAAATGCAGGAGAGAGAGGGGTATGGTCGGGGAAGGCCGCACCGAAGAGGTAACATTTGAGCAAAGACTTGAAGGAGGTAGAGGAGCCGGCCATGAGGCAAACCGGAGGAAAAGCGTTCCTGCTGGAGGAACAGCAAGTGCAAAGGCCTTGGGGTGGCGTGTACTGGTTATGTTGATGGTCTGACAAGGAGCTGGGTGGAGCTGCGGCAGAGGCAGGGAGAGGACAGAAAGATGAACGAGGGTCACATCACATAGGCCCCCGTGGGCTGTGATAGGGCTTTGGGCTCTGTTCTAGGTGGACAGGAGCCATGCGAGGCTTGTGATCAGGGCACGTGGTGACAGGACCTCTCTGGCGCTTGTGTGGTAATTTGTTACTGAGGGGGCCAGACGACCTGCTATTGCAGGAGTCAGCGTTGACCTGGATGATGGTGGGAGCCATTGAGGTACCAAGAAAGAGTTGGGTTCTGGGAGCATTTGGAAGGTAGAGCCACAGGCTTTTCTCACAGACTGGGCCTTTGCAACAGTGGGGAAGTCACTGTGTTATAGTAAAAGACGGGAGTGGCATGGTCACCCTCACAACTGTCAGTTATCACAGTTGTCCATCTCCTGCTGGGCTGTCAGCCCCAAGAGGATACTCACCAATGTGCCCCTCATGGCCAGCACATCAAGCAGATGTGCCCGACGAAAAAGAGGTGGTTCCGTAACTGAGTCTAGGACTCCATGGCCATCACCATCACCCATGCCCCAGCACCAAGTCTCCCAAGTCCTGCTTCCTGGAGGCAGCAAGATGTAGCAGCGAGCACTGCACCAGGAGTCCAGAGACCTGTGACTCCTATTCCTTCCTTCATGGAGCGTCCATTCCCGGCAGGCCCTGTCCTGGGTCCTGCAGGGAACCAGGGTGACTAGGACACAGGCCCGCTTTCTCATGAGGGAGAGACAAAGCCAAGACTGGCATATTGTTGATCTGACCAAGGGATGCCCAGGGGAGGAGGCAGCTACTATTGGGGGCCCAGGGACCCATGGCCAGGCAGGTGGCCTTGGAGTTACCTTTAGGGGTCCCCTCAGTCCTTTAGGCAGAGGGTGTGGCTGCAGAAATGTGGGGTGCCCTGGGCCTGCAGAGTGATGTGCCTGGTGGAAGTTAGGGCTGCAGGGGGTGGGGAGCAGCCTGGCCAGGGGAGATCTTGGTGTCACGGTGCGTGGTTTGGAGGTGGCTGGGAGCCATGAGAGGATTCCTAGCGGTAAATGACTGGAGGTGGGCAGGGGGAGTAATCTGGTGACAACGTGGAGGATGTGCCCGAGGAGAGATGGGAGCAGAGAAGGCTGCCCCAGGAGTCTGGGTGGGAGGCGATGGGGAGCCCAGGTGAACACCCCCCTGCCCCCACCTTTAGGCTGGATCTAATCTTGGGTTTTTACACAGTGGGTTTTCTGCGAGTGGGCTTTTGTGTGATGTTCAAAATCCTCCCACACAGGTATGAGGGGCATTTATTTATGAGGGATGTAAAATCTGCCGAGTGCAGGCCTGGCCTGGGGAAGGGCGTGAGGAAGGAGGAGGCCTACTGAGTGTCCTGCCCTGGACTGCTCCTCTTGCTGCCTCCTCTAATGGACCTATGACCTTCCCTGAGCCTCAGTTTCCCTCTCAGTACCCAGGTGATGAATGAGGCGGTAGAGCATAGGGGTCAGGGTGTTATTCTGTAGACAAACCGCTTGGGTTTGCAGCCTGGATCTGCTGTTAACCAACTGTGTGACCCTGGCCAAGCTGCTCAACCTCTCTGTGTCTCAGCTTCCTCATCTGTAAAACGGAAATAATAAGAAAACTTACCCCCATAGTGTCTGTGTAAGGCTTACATGAGACAGTGAGTATAAAGCACTGAGAACAGTTGAAATAAATGTCAACTATTGTCACTTCTAGTGCCCTTGAGTCCCCATAGTTCTGTGGGTCATCTCAAAATAGATCCTTGGTGATCCAGACTCAAGAGTAGAATGGGTGTGGCCACCTCTGGAGGAGGGAGGGGACCCGGGACTGAGAGAGGATGAGCACCTGGGCCACCAAGGACTCTCCCTAATCTAGCAACCCTGCTCAGCTTTCGGGGACAGCCAGTTTCTCACCAGGGGTACTGTGGACACTTTGGAGAGTGGGAGGTGCTGACCCACCTATTTTGGGATATTTACCATCATTGGCCTAGCCCCATAAAAGCCAGAGGGCCTGCCCCCCATGTCTGGATGTCCTCTGGTCAGGGGTGGAGGGGAGTTCTATACCCACTTGAGAACCTCTCCCTTCCTTGCATTAGGTGAAGGACACTCAAGAGGGTCACCATGGCTGGATGCCAGAAATCCTTGACTGGGAACAATGCTGAGAGGAGCGGCAGAAAGTAGGAAAGCGGGAGGAGGGCCGGGGCCCCTTGAACCCATCTGGGAGGACTTTGAGCATCACTGAGGAGCCTCATTTTGGGAAAACCCACTGTGTGAAGATTCAAGATGCAGCCCAAAGAAACCTCTCCCCCACCCCCACACCTCTGGGGATGGATGCATTTCAAAGCCAGCGCGCATCTGTGGATTTGAGAAGAGACCAACCTCTCAGTGGGCAGCAATCCTTGCTCTGCTGATGGCAGGATGGGTGGAGGGCCTTCTCCGTGCTGTGAGAAAACCTGCCTGAGAATCAGATAATATTCAGAAGTTTGCTTGGGCAGGGCGGGGAGGGGGCGTCTGGTGATAGAGCTGCAGACCCAGGGCCCTGAGCGGGATGGCAGTCAGTTATTACTTAACCATGATTTGTTAACTGACAGGCAATTTACAGGAAGCAGCCAGGAGTAGTGGAAGGAGCAGGGAGTCAGACACCTGGGCGTGACCCCACTTACCTGCTGTGTGACCTAGGGCGAGTGGCTAAGCCTTTCGGGGCTTCAGTTTTTTCATTGGTAAAATGGAGCTGGTAGTGAGTGCTAGATATTCAAATCACATTGGGAAAATGAGGACAGGGACAGGAAAACCCTGGGCTGAGTTATTGCTAAAACGCCCTGGGTCTCAGTTTCTCCATCTGTCCAATGGGTGCAGAACCTTGGAAGGTGTTAGAGGTTTAAGCAGGATAATCCACATGAAGTGTCCACCCAGAGTGGACCTGCAGAAGAAGAATGCTTGGGGACAATGGTCCCCACATCCCTGGGTGACCAGAGGATTAGTGAGGTGATACCTGTGAAATGTCTTTTGTAGACACTGTCTCCTTCTTCTGCCCCTAAGAGAATTTTGGGCTGGTAGGGAAACAAAGGGGATAGCCCTCTTTGAAGGGCAGGTCACTGGCCCAGCACAGCACTGGCCCAGGGGCTTCTGGGGGACGGCTAAGTGAACTGACTGCATCGGTATCTGGGGAAGCTCTGCTATGGAGAACCAGGAGGCGCTAACAACATCCCCCTGAATGCGGGGATATGGGGTAAGTTTTTGGACCCCACATTTGTACCCCACGTTACTCAGTTCCATCTGTGGGTACAGGCTCGGGGGTCCAGGTTCAGGCACTGAAACCTCCATCTGTCCTCTGACCACAGAGAGGCTGATGCGGGTGCAAAGGTGAGGGTTCCAGAGCCGGCCAGCCCAGCTCCGCCTGTCACCCTCGGAGGGGAGCTGCTCTGAGCCTCGCTTTCGCCCCCTGAGAGCTGGCTCAGGGCTCACTTTCAATCGGTGCCTGGCGATATGCTCCTCCGACTCCCAAAGGCAGGCCGTCTTACTTCTCTGCACCGTTGGCGGTCAGCAAAGGCTTCCTTGCAAATGTTAGGCCATTTTCAACCCTGGTCTGTTTCCTTGCCAGGATGCCCGTGGCTGAGGCCCCCCAGGTTGCTGGTGGGCAGGGCGACGGAGGCGATGGCGAGGAGGCAGAGCCGGAGGGGATGTTCAAGGCCGCTGAGGACTCGAAGAGAAAAGTCCGGGACTACCTCCGCCTGGTGCCCCTGTGGCTGGCCCTGGTCATGCTGGCTTCAGGAAGTTTCCTGCTCTGGTATTTCCTAGGTAAAGGTGTGGGCCTGCCTGGGAGAGGCACCTGGGGAGAACTTGGGGTGGCTGTGGGGGGCACAGCAGAACAGACTAGAATTCCAAGTCAGCAATGCTTAGCAACTCACCTTGGGCCAGCACTTCCTCACTCTGTCTCCCTTCCTGTCCTGTGAAGTGGGAATGTCACCACCAAGTGTCCCCAGCTCGCACCAGCTAGGGAAGGAGTGCTCTCCCAGCACTCAGTTCTTGTGAGCCAACAAGCCAAAGTTGTATAAACACTGCCTCCCCTTGCCTGCAGCCCTCCAGGATTGCCATTGGGGCTCTGAGCCAGCTGGCTCTGCGGGGAAGGCAGAGTGGTGCCTGTGGCTCCTGGCACCAATTAACACCTCTGCTCACTTGAGCGCTGCCAGGGAGTTCCTCTAAGGTAGGGACCACAGCTCTGTCATCTCTTAGTCTCCAGGGCCCATCATGAATGGGGATGAGGTCCACACACACAGAGGGCTTTCATACCCCAGCTCGGGCACGTGGAATTCGACACAGTGAAAGGGGGGCCTGGAGTGTCCAGAGCAAGTGGCTCAGCCTCTCCCAGGTTCTGAATTTTGGCCTCCTCTGGTATCACAGCCTTTATCATCCCCTGGAAGCAACTGGCCCATGTTCTGGGTCCATTTGTCCACCTTTTCATTCATTCATTCATTCATTCATTCATTCATTCATTCATTCATTCAATAAACACCCTGGAGCACCTACTACGTCTTTCTCTAAAACTAATGAAGACTGTACCTCATTCCTCCTGCTCTTGGCTATGCAAAGTAATGGACAAACCAAGCTAGATGGTGCCTGTGAAAATGCTCCATGTACACTGTAGAAGACTCATTCATTCATTCATTCCTGAACACCTCCTATACACCTGCTCTGTGCCAGGTTCTAAAGACAGTCCTGCCTCACCATAAAGCTTGGCATGTGCCAGGACAGAGGAAGCTGAGGGGCTGGGGAGCCACAGCAGGGATCATGATCAGAGACTTCCCATTAAACACTCTGCAAAAGTTAGGTAGTATTCTTACTGGCTAAGTCTCATGGTGGGATGTCAGGCTCATTGAAAGGAAGGGGGACCTGCTTTGGAGTAGTCGTGCGGAGATCAGCCTAGGCCCAGCTCCAGACTGAGTGGAGGTGGCGGTGGTCTCGAACCACCCGCTGGGCAGACACTGTGAGGAAGCCCAGGCCTGCCGAGAATCCGCCTGCCATGACTCAGGGTGGATGGTAATTCTGCTCAGAACTGAGCCACTGCGGCAGGGAGTGGAAGCTGAGTGCGTTTCACCACCGCAGGAAGCCAGTGCCCCAGATGGCATGGGGCTGCCACAGCCTCCCTGGGCTGCAGGGTAATGAGTCTCCGGGGTAAACCACAGACCATCAGGCTGCGAGGCCAGGAACTCACCTGTCAATTGTCTTTCTTTGCAGATGAGTCTAATTTCTCCTGGTTACGCTCCAGGAGTAAATTGCCCCCCGGAGGGTATGCTCCATGGGGCTGAGTGCCCCCAAGCCTCAGCTGGGAGAAGCCAATTCCTGACCCGCAAAGGGATTAGGGTAGAAGAGGCCCTTCAGGAGACGTCTGAGCCATTCCTCCCGCCCTGGCCAGGCTGTGCTCCAGGTACTGGGCACTGGGCGAGGAGATGAATCAGAGATGTGCCCTGCCAGGTCTGGAAGGGGAGATGGTCAAGAGGCCTAGGGCACCGGAGTAGGATAAGCCCCGAGTGAGCGGCAGCCTGGCCCAGAAAGCGGCCGAGGAGAGGAGAGGGTGGGGACTAGCTTCCCAAGGCAGATGGGCCCTGCTCCCTAATGAGGCCCAACTGTGTTTCCCTGGTCCTTCCCCTCTCCTGCTCTCCAGGTGACAGTATTGTGCTTTATCCTCAAACCTCCTGTACCTCCACCCACTCTGCTACCTGTTTCAATGACAAAATGGAACCAGTCAGGAGAGAAGGCCCCTAGGTGCCCTCCCAGCTATACCCACATATTCTGCCCTCCCACCTGTCCCCAAGGTGAGCCATTGCTGCCTGTTTTAAAACCAGCTCCCCCGGGCTCCGCACGGTGGCCAGGCTCCAGCAATGCTCCTTCTCGACTTGCCAGCATATCTGGTCATCTCTAACTCCAAAATACTGCTTGACTCCAACCACATCTCACCCTCTCCACGGTGCAACCTGGTCCAGGCTCCATCGCCTCTTACCCAGACCGCTCTCACCTGGATCTCTCTCACTTGGGCCGCTTCCTGCAGGTTTCCCTGCTTCTGCCCTTGCCTCCTTAGAGCCTGTTCTCAGCACAATAGCAAATTGAAGCATCTAACTTCTCTGTTTAAAATCCCCCACAGATCCCATCTCACTCAGAGTAAAACCAAAGTGCTCCCCCAACTCATCTCCTCCCGCTNGAGCCTGTTCTCAGCACAATAGCAAACTGAAGCATCTAACTTCTCTGTTTAAAATCCCCCACAGATCCCATCTCACTCAGAGTAAAGCCAAAGTGCTCCCCCAACTCATCTCNTCAGAGTAAAACCAAAGTGCTCCCCCAACTCATCTCCTCCCGCTTCCCCCTCACTCACTCTTTGCTATTCCTCAAAAACACCAGACAAGCTCCTGCCTCAGGGCCTTTGCACTTGCTGGTCTTGATGCCTGGATAGCTATTTCTACAGATTAACATTCACATGGCTGACACCACCACCTTCTTCTCTGGCCTTCATGTCGCAGCTCACCCCAGTCCTGGTTTCCACTGACACCTCTAACATGTTGTATAGTATGTTTGTTGCTAGACCAAAAGCTCTTTAGGGCAAGGGTTTATTTTCTTTATTGTTTTGTTTATTGTTATATTCCCAGGTGCTCTAGGCCAGTCCTTGCACATAGTAGGCTCCCCATAAATATTAGTTGGGTGAATGAATAAGTGAATAGATAGAGGTATAAACTGAAGGCTATGGATCTATTCACTTCACATCAACCAAAATAATCTTTGCAAAAGGGAAATCTGATGATGTCATCCCAATTTTAAACCTTTCATAGTGTTCCTTGTTTATCTGGTAAAGACAAAATCCTGCCAGCTGATGTCACAGCCTCTTGTTGCCCTGACCTGATTATGCCAGCCAAACAGGTTTTAGCCCTCTTTTTACCATGAACCCTCTGCCTCAGGGCCTTTGCACATGCTATACTTCCCTCCCTCCCCTCTTTGCAATTTATACTCGTCTTTCCACCTCAGCTGGAGGGTCACCCTGACCCAGGCCTGGTTTCTTTGTCATGTCCCTTCAATAGTACCTCGCGCCTCTTCTTGAAGGCCCTTAACACCTGTCTTACCCTCCACTGTTAGTTCCTCATGGGGAGACACATCTGTCTTGGTTTACTAGTGTCCCCCACGCAGTAGGTGCAACCTGGACAACATGGTGAGTGGAAGGATGAATAGAGGTTGTAACCCATGAACTTGACCTGGGCCATGGAGTTTCCTGGCCTTTATGTCATCCATGTCCTGGACTGATTGCTGCATCAGCTTTGGACTGGGGGCCCCGGGGACACCATCCATCTGTGGGCCTTCCCTCCTCCCTGGCACCTGGGGGCCAGTTTGTAACTAAATGAACTTTGGATGGCAATGACAATGACAAAGATGAGGATGGTGCCTTGGAGGCCCAAGATGTTGGAGGCTGAGCGGAGGGTTCAGGTGAGGAAGGTGTGGGGGAGGTGGGAGCCTTCCCTGCTGCGCCTCGCTTAACCTGCTGGCTTCTTCCTGCGCAGGGTCCAAGGCAGAGGTGACCGTCAGCCAGGTGTACTCAGGCAGCCTCCGCGTGCTCAATCGCCACTTCTCCCAGGACCTTGCCCACCGGGAGTCCAGTGCCTTCCGCAGTGAAACGGCCAAAGCCCAGGAAATGGTAGGGAAGGATTCGGGGGGATGGGAGGGTGGTGAGCAGGGAGAGGGAGGGGCTTGATGGTGTCAAGCCCATTGGTCAGTCCATCTAGGGAGCTGGCTGGGAGCAGAGGCCTGGTCCTGGAACGATGGAAGGGGGAGTGGTAGAGGGTGGTGGGAGTCAGTGGACTGTGGCATCAAATGCACTTGGATTAAATCCTAATTGTGCCACTTCCAAGGAGGGTGACACTGGAAAGTTAGGGCAGTGCAAGGAAGTTGTCAGGGCCCCCCCCCACATCGCCTCCCCTCCAGGGCAATGGCTCCCTGCCGCCACTGGGGGTGGTCTCCCACTGCCAGCACCTCCTCTCTCAGGTGCAGGACCTCACCCTGCCCACAGGCAGGCTGGAGTGCTGAGGAGTTACTCCCAGAAGCAACCCTCCGCCGTGGGGCACAGAGCAGGCAGATCAACACCCAGCAACCCTGGCCGTTGGTGGGGGCAGATTTGAGGATGCCCCTCCGTCTCCCAGGGTTCCCTGCGGCCTGAGCCTCAGTGGCCCACAGCTCTACCCTGCTCCTTCCCAGCCATGTGGGCTGCCCCCACTTCCAGTCTCTCTTCCCCACCCCCACTGGTGTCCCCAGAATCACTTCCACACAAACCACTTGCCTCACATCCTTGACTCGACCTGCTTCTGGAGGACCCACCGAGGCTCTCTCCCCCTCCGTGAAGCCGGTGGTGACTGCAGTGCCTGCCAGTAGGGTTGCTGAGGGGTTGAAATGAGATGAGAGGACGTTTCCTCTATGCTGTGCCAAGGCCTTAACTGACGCCCAACCCTGCCGGTCCCCCTGCCACCAGCACTGTGGTTGAACATGTGTGAAAACCAGCCAGCTGAGCGCTGTGGCTGCTGGCTGGGCGTAAGGAGGGAACTCAAGAGCCACATAGGGCTTCTCGGAGCTGAGTGACATTTGACGAGGGGGACAGAGACCATTGGTGGCCTGAAGGAGGTCAGAACTGGTGGAGGGGGTTGGGGGGCAGTGCCTGAGTGTAGGGGGAGGGGAAAGTGGAATGGCTCTGAGGTTTCCTGGTGTGGCCACAGCCCCTGTGTGACCACTGGCAATACTATCTACCCTGCAGGCTCCCTGTCATGCAGGGCTGCCTGGGGGGGAAAGGGCATCTCAAGGTCAGAGGGGCTTCTGCAGAGGGTCACCAGGGGGCTGTTGTTTCCCCTCCTTTTAGCTCAAGGCCCTCCTCGCTAGCACACCCCTGGGCACTTACTACAACTCCAGCTCCGTCTACTCCTTTGGGTGAGTGGCCTGGATCCCCTGACCGACCCCCGCTAGAACCTCGAACTCAAAGAAGGGAAGGGGACTTGGCTTCTGATGCCATGCCTTTGTTTTTAAAAATGGGGAAATTGAGGGACATAGAGGCAACTCGGCTTCCTGTGACCTTCCTTCGCTGCGCTTGGTTTCCTCATCTGCAGAGCGGGCACAGAGGTGCGGGGGGGGACAAGGGCCACGGTATGCTTACCAGGGGCCTGGCATGTGTTAGATGAGGCCACAGTGGGGGTGCTAGTGGGGGTGACCCAGCTCTTCCATTCATATCTGGTTCTGCCACTTTCGACATGGTTTTTGGCCTCAGTTTCCTCATCTGCATAATGGGGATGAGGCGAGCACCTGCCTCAGAGCCGTTGGGAGGCTTCCCCCTGAGGGTGGAGAGCGACACCTGGGCTGCAGGGAGCGCTCCGCGTGCATGAGCCCCAGCTGGTGTCCCCACCGGAGCAGGGGCTGGGCGGGGGGGACCGCAGGCCCTTTCCCAGCCCCTCACGCTCGGCCTGGCCCGCCGTAGGGAGGGACCCCTCACCTGCTTCTTCTGGTTCATCCTCCAAATCCCCGAGCACCGCCAGCGGATGCTGAGCGCCGAGGTGGTGCGGACACTGCTGGTGGAGGAGCTGCTGTCCACGGCCAACAGCTCGGGCCCCGCTCCCTACCGGGCGGAGTATGAGCCGGACCCCGAAGGCCTGGTGATCCTGGGTGAGTACCGGGGCGCAGCGTGGGACGGTCTGATGAGGCCGGGGAAGGCCGCCCGCTAGGGCTGGGATGCTCTCAGGGTGGAAGCCCAGGGACCAGGAGCCAGGCCGGGGCGGAGGCCCTGGGGGGGGGGGTCGCACTCGAGGCAAACCTCAGACAGGCTGGCTCGGATGCTCTCCTCTATTTTATTTTCATTTTATTTATTTATTATTTGTCTTCATTTGTTTGTTCATTTCCTTTTAACAGAAGCCAGCATAAGAGACCTAGTTGCACTGAATTCCACTCTGGGTACGCTGCTGTTCACTTCTCAGTTGTCTTTCTCGGCTTGGTCCATGTCAGGGCCCCGCACGGCTCTCACGGCGGGTGCAGGGAGCCCTGGCCTAAGTCACCTAGGGGATGCCACGAGGGACTCAGCGATGGGTCCCGAGCAAGCATGGGGCCTGTGGGGGGAGAGGAGGTGTGCGTGTGTGAACATGTGTGCGTGCTTTGTACACAGCGTGTATGTGCTGCCTGTGTCGGGTGTGAGAGTGGCTCTACTGTTCTATCACTGAGTTCAATTTGCCCACAAGCCACTGTTTGCCGTGATGGTAGAAAATTATCTTGCCAGTTCAAGCTATGTCAGTCGCTTCAGGTTTAAAACTTGGCCTTCTTCCCTGGCCGGTTGGCTCAGAGGTTAGAGCATCGGCCCTCAGACTGAAGGTCCCGGGTTTGACTCCGGCCAAGGTCATGTACCTCGGCTGCAGGCTCCATCCCAGGCCTGGTCGGGGTGCATGCAGAAGGCAACCAATCGACGTGTCTCTCTCACACTGACCTTTCTCTCTCTCTCCCTTCCTCTCTCTCTCTGAAAAGCAATGGGAAGGATATCCTTGGGTAAGAGTTAAAAACAAACAAAAGACCTTGGTTTTCTGGAGACATTTCTGCCACATTCAAGGACACCCCTTCCACCTTTCCTTCCCTTCCCCAGCCGGCCCGCTAACCGCCCTCTGCCCCCACCCACCCCTGTGCCACGTTGCTCGAGTCCCCTCGCTGTTTTCCAAGAGGCCCCGCAGCCTTGCTGCTGAGCCCCGAGGAGAGCAGGGCGGGGCCCTCACGCTGCACAAGGCCAGGGGCGCTCTCTGCGCGGCAGCCATGTGCCTGGCAGGTCTTGGGGTTGTGTGGTGCTCCTGTGCTGCTGTGCTCTGCGGTCCTGAGCACAGGCCCCGACACCCTCAGGGTCTTCCTACACTCCCTAGAGTCTCCACCCATAGCAGAGGCTGGGCTGAGGGCCTCGCTGTCCTCTCCATGTGGGGTCAGGGTTTAAATCCTGATTAATACCCTCGCTGACCTTCCCCTCCTCCCATCTGGCTGGTCAAAGGCTTAACCCTTTGCGGTCGTTTGTCTGCTCTCAGCCACCACAGCAAGGAACCGTACGAATCTTAGCTCTATTCATTCATGTATCAGTTCATAATTTCTCTGAAAGCTCTTAATTCCGACCAGTACGACACCCATGTCCAAATTTAATACGACCGCAAAGGGTTAATTCCTTGGTGGATGGAAATAATGGGCTCAAAGTACAACTTTCAGGTAGTTAAGACCATGATTCTCACACACAGAAGCGGTGGGCACACGTCAGGGATTTGGTTGGCTCTGTATGAAGGAAGCAGCAGGAGAGCAGAGCTGGTTCAAAGGCATGCACGAGAACCGCCTGTCGTTTGTCACCTATCTGCCTGCCCATCTATCACCTGTTTGTCACCTATCCCTCTGCTCTCTATCAGCTATCTATTATTTGTCTATCGCTTATATCATCTGTCTATCTGTAATTGATCTATGACCAACCATCTGTCTATCCTGTCAATCTATCCCTCTTCTCTGTCTCTCTGTCACCGTTTGTCTGTCACCTATCTATCTATCTTACGCTGCATTGGCACGCTGGGAGCTCTGACCCTTGGTTTGGATGGGCCTTCCCTTTGCCCTGGCCTGTGCCAGGTGTCCATGTGTCCCCAGGTTTCTGGGAGCTTCTTCGCAGTTACCCTTATTTGGTTCCATGAATGCCTGGAACCCCTGACCTCTGGGAACACAGTGTCTAACGGTGCAGTGATGCCCATTGAAACCCTTTAAACAGGTTTTTTTTTTTGGATGGTTTTTTAAAAAAATATATCTTTATTGATTTCAGAGAGAGGAAGGGAGAGGGGGAGAGAGAGCTAGAAACATCAATGATGAGAGAGTCATCATTGATCAGCTGCCTCCTGCACGCCCCCAACTGGGGATCAAGCCCGCGACCTGGGCATGTGTCCTGACCGGGACTCAAACCGCGATCCCCTGGATCCTAGGCTGATGCTCAACCGCTGAACACGCCCAGCTGGGCTAAACTGGTTTTTGAGCACTTCTCCCATGCCAGGCCCCATGCCTGTGCTGGGGACACCAGGTGACCGTGTCCTCACCCCTGCCCTCGGCGGAGCTCAGAGCTCGAGGAGGGAGACAGACTCATTACCAGAATCTCACACCCAAAGTGCCCGTGCTAGAATGGAGGCCCCGGGGCAGTGGACAGAGGGGATCATCCTGCCCTGGGGACAGGGGCTACCATCCAAAGCAGAGAACAGGACATGCCTCTTGGAGGAGGAAGGAGTTGCTCCTGCCTGGGGGTGGGGGTCCTGGAAGCCTTCATGGAGGAGGGGGCGGCAGTCCCAAGCATGGGGCAGAGGTAGGAATCTGTCAGGTTGAGGAGCGGCTAGGGCAGTCTGGGCAGAGGGAACGGCGTGAGCAAAGGCTGGGTGCAGAGAATGCACAAGGCAGGTTCAGTTACTTTCTTCCAGCGACCACAGGGACCAGGTTCCCTAAAGTGTTTCCAATTATCAACAGAGACCAGCACTTACCTCTCCATTTAATTAGCCTAAAAAAAGTAATTATTAAAATGGCAAAAGCGAAGCATGAGCCTGGAGCAAGATCTAAAGAATATAAACACCTAAGTGCCTAGAACAGCCAGGCCCTTTCCCCAGCCCTGACTGAGCAGATGTCAACAGTCCCTGCCCCTTCCCCTGCAGATGTCAGAAGTCACTCCCTGGGGGAGGCCGGCTCCCCAGTGGGGTCAGGACGGCCAGGGGTCAGGGAGAGGGAACCGATCAACAGGTAGCAATATCGGAGCAAAGCCTGTTCGCTGCCGTTCCCTTCCTGGTCCTCAGAAGCACTCAGAGGGGAGGTGGGACAGGGAGTACCATTGTGTCCATTGACAGAACTCAGAGTGGCTAAGCAAGTGGCCCAGGGTCACACAGCCGATGAGAGGTGGTGTGGAGGCTCTAGTGCAGGGTATGGACGCCCTGCACACCAGGCTGCCTCCTGCATCTGGGCCTCAATCCCACATCCCTCTGCTTCCTGGCAGAGCGCACAGCCTCCCTGCCTCGCAGGCTCACGGTGAGGTTTAAGCCAGATGTTTATGCTCCATGGGAGAGATTTGTTTGTGCCCTGCTGGTCCCTGGTGCCTAAATCAAACACAGCGGAGGATCCCAATGAACGANCGCTGTGGAGGATCCCAATGAACGATTGAATGGTGTAGGTGGTTCTGCTATGCAAACTGAGCACCACATACAGAGCTCNAAACACAGCGGAGGATCCCAATGAACGATTGAATGGTGTAGGTGGTTCTGCTATGCAAACTGAGCACCACATACAGAGCTCATAGATTACACCTGAGAGCGGAGGCAAAGCCTCCGGCTGTGGGTGCGAGTGGGTGTGTCTGTGTGAAGGGGGAGGTGTGAAGGGAGAGCAGCCAATGCGATCAGCTACATCCGAGCCTCAAGTGGGGCCAGCTGAAGGGTGACGAGTCATGGAGCTTTCACTCGAGCTTCACCTTCACCCTCTCCCCCATACCCACCTAAAGAACAGCCACTACATATATTGAGCACCTACTGTGTGCAAGGGACTGTGCTGAGCACTCAAGCGTGCATCGCCCCTAAGCAATGTGGCAATCCTGCAAGGATGATCTCATTGTTTCCATCCTACAGAGGAGAAAACCAAGGCCTAGAAAAGCCTGGGTGGAGGTTAGGTGAACCCAGGCCTGTCTGTCTGGAGTCTGTAAAACGGGGACCATAACAGATACTATTTCACAGAGGCATTCGATGAGGTGGCCAGAGGACCCTCTAGCTAGTTCCCTGTGTATCAGACACTTGCTCGGTTTCAGTCTCATTGTTTGTCCTCATCAGCTAGAGCACATTTCCTCCACTGGGGCTGCCCCAGCCCCACTGGCACACACTCCCTTCTCTCCACCTGAAATGAAACCCTCACGCGTATGGTACAGCCAGCTCGCTGGTCTCCAGCCTCCTTAACGGGGCTCCCTGCAGCCAGAGAGCCTGTGATCCAAGCCTGACTCCTCCCCCCCCACCTGGGCCTCCAGTGCTCTGCTCACACGGTGACCCCCCAGGACTCCCCTACCTCACAGACCGGGCCAGAGCCCTCACCTCCTAAACTATTACCGCTGGGCTTCGTATCTGTCCACGCTGCTCCTGGCATTCGAAGTGGCAACTGGACCTTTCTCTGGCACACGCCTGGCACACAGAGCCCAGTGAGTGCTATGTGAATGAATGAAGGAACCCACGAATGAATGCATGCATGAGGAGACTGGAGACAAAAGTGCAGGGAAGCAGAAAGATGGGACATAGCAGCTCTGGGCTGACCCCCATCCAGCTGCTCTTCCCCCGCC